TCGCACGGCAAGGAAGGAGACCGCCTCGTTTGTAAAGTTATTTTGCAATCCCTGCGGGAGAGGAGGGGAACATTTATGGCGGATTTCAGCTCTGCAATTGTTTCTTCCTCGTTGAGGAAAGCGGTTGAGCCATCTGGGGTGGGAATTGCACGCCCCACCGCCGCAGTTTGCACTGACCCCGCCAAGACGGCATTGCTGGGAGCAGGGGACAGTTGATCCACGTTTCCGCTCGTACCCCGAGCGCCAGCGAGCCACGCCACCCGGCACATCGCAACGGTAGGGCAGGAGCTGGGTGGCTTTGGCTCTTTCATGCCCCAGCCCCACATTTAAGAAATACAATTCAAATAAACCGAGAGCGGAACAGTTCGCACCTTGTCAGATCCCGGGGGCTACGGGCATTGCCCACTCCCGGGCTGCAGGTTATCGTTGCCACAGTACTGAAAATCTGAACATCGTGGCTGTTCCCAACCCCGATTCTGTTCTCTCAAAGCCAAGACCCAGCAAACCGTGGGGACGCTGATGAACCTCAGCTCTGAAGACGTTTTACTCATCCAGTACCAACTGCAGAGGGAAAGGACGTATTTGGGACTGTATCTCTATGGTATGCAAACTCCATCCTAAAGTAACTTAAAGCTAGCGTGGGACACCAAAACACACACACACAAAATTACCAGCTACAACCACGCAGCAACGTGGTTTCGTCAACAGTCAGTGATTTTCCCGAGACCGCTGCTCCAGGGATCACGGGTGTATTTACAAATCCCATTAAAACCTAAATCTCTTGGCAGCGCAGAAAGACCAAGTTAAAGACAAAACCCACTTACGCCATAAATATTCAAAGAACAGGAAGCAAATACAATTCAGCATCGATATCATCATAAAATCTCCATATTTTCAAGCCAACCATGATTTTTCGGTACTTACCTCCCAGGGCAGGGCACGTGGCTTTGCAGTACCAGCACAGGCAAAGCCGATCAGATCTGCCCACAGCCCCATAAAGTAGCATTTTAGACCTTGATAAGGCTTCCCATTGCCCTTCCAAGCTGCAAAGCAGCTGCTTAACAGAGTTTGAAGACGCATATAGAAAACTGCCTCCATCTCAGCCTTGGTCCTGATGCCCCAGGACGATCCTGCAATCCATTAAAGCAGACAGGACCAGAGCTATCTGGGGAGAGGGTTCAAAAAAGTCATGCCCCAGGTTGGTTTTGTTTAGGTGTATTCACCACGGGGGCTGAGAGACCCCAACAGAGACCACCTCCGCAGCAAGCGTTGGCGGGAGCACGGGGAAGGGAGGCAGCAAGGGCAGGGACGCAGCACGAGGCCGCCGGTCCGTATTTAACGCCTGGCAAACGCTTCTCCTCTTGCAGCCCGAAACCTGAGCGTGAGCACAGCCCACCGGGAAGAGTTCGAGCGCCACGCCAAGTGCCTGGGGCTGAACGGAGAGGAGATCGTGTACGCGCCGTGGAAAACGGTACGTGGCTGCTCACGGGTGGGCGAGGGTCGGCAGAGCCGCCGCAGCCCCCCACCCCCGACAGGGGTGCCACGACCCCAGGCTATAGCTCCAGCTGCCAAACTGGGGACTTGGAGAGAGATTTTCAAGGTAGTGGAAATGATTTAGGGGACTAAGTAAAGGCAGGCTTGCTTCAACAGCGATGGTGGTTTACCATAACACACCCCCCACAGATACATGACTCCCCAAAGCAAATACCTGCACCCGAACGTCTCCAGTGGGAAACCTGGTAACTGCTTGTCTCCCCCTGCTAGGGGGGAGACAACTAAAGCATGGGATTTTTGCCCTAAAATTCCTGATTTTGCCCTGAAATTCCTGATTTTGCCCCCCGCAGCAGAGGCCAGCGGCCCCCCAAGCTGCAGCAAGGGGCCGGTGCCCTGGGGGGCTGCTCGGCCCCGCTTCAGCCGAAGCCACAGCAATTTAAACCCCTAAAAACCTGGTGTTGTTTTTAGATTGGGATTTGCTTTTCTGGCGCCCCGAGGTGCTGCGTGATGAGGGGTTCACAGCCTGGCTGTAAATGGGGTTCAGGAAGACTGCACAAGCCAGTCCTCCTCCCGCCCCGGCGCGGGGCTCCTTTTGGGCTGGGGTCCCAGCCCCACGGGACATCAGGGAAGAGGCAACACCATCCACTCCCACAAAACCAGATTTTTTTCCTTTAGTTTTTCCATCGAAACACTAACCGGATCCAGCCCTAGCCCTAACCTCTGCCACCTGATTTAGGACATTTTATTCTGCAAATGCCCCAGTCCCCAAGCCAACTTGATGGGGCTCCCTTTTGCAAAGCAGGGGGTGCAAAATATCTTACCTTTTCCTGTCCTGACCAACCATTCCTGTCCTGGCCATCTGCTCATCCACAGCAGGAGACTCTGAGCTTCCAGAGGTGCCCAAAACCCCGTTCCAAGCTGCCAGACTGGACGCAACATAGCCCCCAACACCCCCCCAGCCTCAACATGCTGCTTTTAGAAATATCCCCCCCAGGTTCAGGGGAACAGGGGACAGGGACGCAGGCACAGGTTGAAACCCCCGTGGTGAGGCAGGTCTCCTCTCCCCGTTAGGCAACGGGCAGCACCTGGGAGGCAGCTCCCAGCTCCCCCAGATTAACAGCTGGATGACATTTCAATTTGGGCAGGACAAATTACATTTAGAGAAAGCCAAGGTGAGTGGAATAAGCCAGAACTGTTTGTCCTTACAAGCCCCAGTGCAGAGAAGGGTTTCGTGCCCAGGCAAGAGGCAGGACACCGCGTCTGAGGAGTAAAATGAAACCGATTAAACAAACGCAGACTAGATTCTGGGGACCTTTGTCACCAGGCTGAAAGAGATGGCTGTGAACAGAGCACCAGAGAGTCACGTACCCCTGCATCAGCCCAAAGCATTAGCAGAGCCCAAACCACGCTAATTCTGAGTGCCTGGGTAGCACGAGCTTTTTATTTCTCAAAAAGATTGAATCCCCCTTTCCTTCCGAGCACGCTTACTGACCCGCCAGTGTAGCACAGTTTTGCTCCAGAAACCGGCACCCCCACAAGCAGCATCTGTGATTGGGGCATGGGGAAGCCCCTAGCTTCTCCAGGCCCTCTTAGACTTATAATCAGATAAAAAGGCAAAGAAAAATACTTCTTTCTTCAGTAAATTCTCTCCTGCTGGTGCACCGGCAGTTTCACTTATCCCATAATTGTTGTTTTGGAAGGAGCTGTGTCAAGTGAAAGAAACCGAAAAAGGAAACAACCCACGCACGGAGCTCATGGCTGCAGTCACAGCGTCACCTCCTCCGGGCACCCCCCAGCCTGGGAGCACGGGTAACTGATGCCATGTTAGGCAATAAATGTTTTCCTCAAATTCGATGCATTTTGTTGCCGAGATGCTGGAGAGCAGGGGTTCTGAAGAGATCAGAAGCGGGGCTTGCAAAAAGAAATTGAGCACCCGGTTCACCTTGTGTGTCATTGAACTAGGAGTTGGGAAAAGGCAACCTTAAGCAATGAGGGGTGCAAGACAAGGCGACACGTGGAAGTTTTTTCAGCACTGACTCAGTCTGCTCAGCTTCACGCCAAGCTTGCAAGAGAGCTCTACTAAAAAAGCAGTACTTAAACAAAGCAGTAATAGAGGCTAACCAGAAGAGGGCAATCATTAACTATTTTAAATGAGTGTGCCAAGCATTTGATGAGTAACTGGAATTTATAGAAGGCTAGAAACTTATCTTTAACTGTAAAAAAAAATCTCTTGACAGCAGTTTGACTGCCAGAAGTAGCCCAGCCGGGGCACATGTTCCTGCCCAAACTCTTCGGACCAGGCAAGAGCTTCCCAATAATGTTCATCCATAGCAAGGTTTGCAACATAATATGACAACACTGAAAAATGATCCTCCTGCCAGGGAGGGAGCAGGTGCTAACCCAACCCAGGCTGGATTTTTACTTCCCCAGAGAAAAAGGTCATGTTTCCTCATTTCCCAATAAGCTCGGCACCATGGAGGCGAGAAGGTTCGAGTACCAAGATTCACGTTGCTCTCCGTGCCTCCGGTACGCCCCTGTACTCATCAGGCACCTCATGCATCCCTCATCACACCCCCAGCCCCAAAGGGAGGAAAGCACTTGTCGCTCTGTGCCTGCGCAAGTGGGGGGAGTTTAAAAAGAGACTGCTTTTGCTGCGTGTTTGGAAAGTAATTCAAGTCTCAGCTCTAACCTAGTAATTAAGCACTGAAAATATCTGTCTTCCTTAAAAAGGAAGAAAAGGAGAAAAGCTGGAGGGAACACAGGGAAGAAGAGAGCCCTGCTCCTCCCTCCGCGGCACCAGGGTGCTCTGTCCCTGTACAGCACCGTTTACTGCGCAGCGTTTCAGCATTGGGCTTTTGGCCCGATTCCTGTAGTAAAAATGAATTTTACAGGGTCAAGTTCAGCCGATTGCCTCCTGGTCTCAGGCCAGCCCTTGCTTCAGACATGTCTTTATCAGCCCGTGACATGAAACGTAACCCCCCACCTCGAGGAGCGAGACAGTTAAAGGGTAGGAGAGGGCAGCGGTGCGAGAAGGGATGCTGCCAGCAGCCTTGAGTGCTGCAGTCCAGAGAGCGTCGATAAGCGTCTCAGCTGACCAAAGCTGACACCACTGGAAAGCAGAGGCTCAGATTACAAGGACCCAGACTTTATGAGTAGATTTATAGCTGAATAAAAGCCCTGAATTACAGTCAGAGACATAAGGAACCAACAAACCCACTCTGGCCCCCGCAGCAAGTTTTGTTAACCAAATCAGAGGCCACTTGCCCCTACCAGCTACGGTTCCCGAATGACCTTCAAGGATAGCCCCTGGTTGGTTTTTTATTTGTTGAAGAAAAAATTGTACAAACCCTTTCTTTTGAAAATCCTATAAGCCAGGTTCCTTTGAGGGCACAATTAGACTGCAGTTTACAGCTTTTCTGGGAAACTCACTTCTCTGTTCAGAGTTACGGATACTGCACAGATGAGCAAAGTCCAGCAATGCTCAGAGATAGGTTAACAGTATCCGAGCTGCCCTGACTCATCACTACCATCCTTAGCCTTGAGCTCAGGTTTGCTGGTTTTGCAAGTTAAGAAGAATTCTACCCTCCCACGTCCTCCCAGGTAGGGAGGATCCTTCCCAGTGTCAGTGTCCTTGGTGAGGATCATACCAGGAAGAGTCTGGCCACCAACAGCACCAATAAACCATATTGAGAAAGAGATGCAGACACGTGGTATCTCTTTGACAGACCTTTATTAGCAGACTGTTCCCTACATGAAGAATCCGAGTTAGATTTGCATTATAACAATTTGTGGTTACAGCTACAAAGATGGTTGTCATTTTGCATTGATTTTTGCATTCTGATATTCATATTCCCATTAGGCCACATGGTAGAAAGGAGCCACTGCAGAATTTATGACAGGTCTCAAGAAGGGGGGGGTGGAAAAAAAATCACATCACTAACCCGGATTGATTAGATTTCCACATGGCTAACTACTGACAGCACTGGATAGTCAAGGCAGAGCCTCACCTGGAAGACTCTCCATGAACCACCAAAAACTGTCAGTAAAAAAGCAGCTGCTGAGTACTAGCAAATCCTTTTCCGATTTCTCACACACTTCTCCACAGTGCCCGTTTGCATGGGAAGAGCACTGGCTCAGCAGCAGGGTCTGCTGATTCAGCCTCAAAGCACAACTGCAGCAGCTTGTGTCCAAGCACAAGTTTCCTTCCCTCTCTCTGGAAACTTGTATTTCCTTTAGTCCCTGAGATTTCTCCCCTCCCCCCTTACCTAAAAATTCCCCAAGATCGCTCTCAATTAGCCGCTGTGACATCCAACATACACAGACCTTCTACTTCCCAACTTCAGCCATCCACCTGAAAGCCTTTCAGCCATGCACAGAGGCAATTCCAAAATAAGGCGAGCCTCACAGTGCACCCTCTCCCCTCCTCCCAAGGTACTGCTTCCTCACCAGCTCCCTTCTCTCCTATGGCTTCTTGCTACAGAATTTCTCTGGGCTGAGGTCCTCCAGCAACAACCCCAGACGTGGGAAAGGCAGCTCAAGCCCCAAAGGGAAGGTACGCAAGCGACTTTAGCGTCCCTCCCCACGACTCAGCTGTGTGATGTAAGAGAACAAACAGAGAACTTTTTAAAACAGGAGAAATACAAGCACAGTAACAATATTTAAACAAGTCTATAAAAATAGTCCGACATAACTCTGTTCAAATAAATACAAAATAAATATGCTTTAAGCAGTAAAACAGTGGAATGCAACGCTGGTCCATTTTGCCCAAAATGAAAAGTTGGATGAGGATCTCCCAGGCCTCGGAAGCCAGATCCTATCAACTAAAGTAGCCCATAACACAGTCAGAGAAATTTTAAAGCCATCTCCTTCCCTTAGCCTTATGAAAAGCACCCTTTGAAAGAAAAAGCAAGCATGTCTTCAGGACTGAAAGCTCACCTTTCCCAGTGACAACCAGCTCCTCTCCCTAACACCCCTTCCCACAGCAGACCTACTCCTGGCTTGGGGACTTCATCCCGCTAATGCAAACCTGAACGTCAATCTACAAAGAGGTCTAAAGAGATAGATAGCAGCGTAGGCACAGGGTTTGGAAAAGGTCCACCAGCTATCCTCAGCACCAGGCAGAATGGAATTCAGAGGTCCATGCAACGCTGCACAGGGGCTCTCGTGTCGTGCTGGGAGCACAACTGCACAGGAGCTGTGAAATATTGTCTTTTGTTCACTAAAGCCATGCATCGAGGTGCCAGTCCACCCAGGGCTCTCCTGCCTTCCCCTTTCCAAGGCCCTGCTGAGTATAAGACAAGCCAATCCCGGCATGCAAAGGATACAGGCATGCAGGCTCTAGTCTGCTGCTTCTGTTAGTAAGTGCATCTTGTTAGTGGATTTATGAGACACACTTAAACCTATAAAAAAATAAATAATCCTAATTCTTCATCAGGCTGGCCTAAGTAACCTTCAACCTGACTGCCCACCAGCCCTCAAAACCAGTATAGTTCAAAGTTACATTTCATGTCAAGTCTTGGAAGCAGAACATGAATGTCTCCTACCCAAAGGAATATATGTAAACATAATAACAAGCCTGGTGTGGCAGCAGCTCCTACACAAGGTTTGTACAAATTTAAACAACGGGTAGGAAGTTAAACAACTGAATGGAAAAAGAAGCTCTTTCAGCAAGTCAGAAGGTGCTCATCTGCAGGCAAACAGCTCTGTACACACAATACGCTGAAAGCAGACCTGTTACCCAAACCTTTGCTACTCTGCCATTCTGCTGGGAACTGACCTCAGCAACTCACGCCTTAAGATTCTCCCAGGAGCTCGCCTCCTGGTCTCCCAAAAGGCCCAACAAAAAGGACCACGTGATGGTTTATGTGGAGCTCTGAGTAGCAAGATGGCAAAGGACACCAGATCCTCCCCTTCCCCTTACTGACTCACAAACTATCTGAGATTTCACAGCTTTGCTTAGTCAGCTTAGTGTCAACACATTCACAGAATGAGAGATGGCTATACGTCTTGGGATTGCACCCCAAGATTTCAGAGTTCAAAGTCCTCGGCATCTCCTGGTCACCGTGACTGCACGCCCAGAGTCATCTTCAAGTTTTCATAAACCACGTAGCTGATGCTTACAGCTGGGATCACCTTCATAAAGTTCGGCGCCAGACCCCGGTAAAGACCAAATGCTCCCTCTGTCTTCAGAATATGTTTAAACAGTCCCCTCATCGTCACTTCGGGAGCACCCTCCACTGAAGCTGCAACAGGGAAAGCCACAATAAATAATGCAGCCTACGTGGTGAAAACACTTTAAGGTAACACCTGTCTCACAGAGCAGTTCTGATTCATGTGCTTCTTGTGGATGTTCACAGACCAAAGGTGCTTCATGGGGGATAGCATCTAACTTCGCAGCAAGCCATGGCCATGCTGCACATCACAGCCATTTTCCCAAACTGCTCTGCAGACGCCCTTAGCCCAAAACTCCTGATTTGAGCAAAACAGAACCTCTGTCCTGGAGGTGCTTGGCCCAGATGCTAAGGGCAGCACAAAGTCCACTGTCCTCTTGCAGCGTGGCAAATAGCCTACTGCTCAGCTGTACAAGTCAGTTAAGGCTGCTGTTGCAATATTTACACTAGAGGACCTTTACTCTGCTCAGAGACCATGACAGGAGCTCCCACAGTTCCCAGAAGTTCTCACCTTGGGCCTGCATGCGTGTCCTCACAAGAGCCAGGGGGTAACTGGCAAGCTGTCCACAGGTACTGGAGATGGTGCCACAAGCCAGCAGAACAAAGACTCCAGGGTCAGCACTGTTGACAGCATAGCGTTGCAACCA